CCGGACTTTGGGTGAGGTGGATTATTGATCAGCATAATCGCCGGTGGCCCAGCTCCTGGGCTTGGCTGCCCAGAGGGGGCTGGGGAAATGGGTAAGACCAGGGCACTCAGGAAGAGCACAGAGGACCTGGCCTCTCCCCTCCACACTTGTAAACCTTTCCCCAAATCTCAAGGCATCGGACAGAATGCAGCTACCACAATAATGAGATGCTCCCAACTCTTCACTCACTCCTGTCGTTTCACTTATGTGCTGAGCACCCACTGGGTTACAGGACATGACACACAGGATGGCCGATGGGACAGGCTTGGTACTTCCCCCTGGATCCTGTTCGATCTGATGGAAGAATGATCACTCATAAACGGTTTCTCAGAAGGATACATAGACAGAAGAGAAACTGCAGAGTGAATCAAATTTTAAAATATAAATGAAGATCCCCCAGTCTCTCCGCCTAAGGTTAACACCATAAAGAAAATAGATCTTGCCTTTGATCACCAAGGAAGTGGTCACCCCCTCTCAGGAGGATAGGAGAGTTATTCTTTGAGCAGGACACACAAGTGCTCCATCGAATTGGACCAGGACCTCTGCATTCATTCAGCAAATCTGTATAAGCTCCTACTACATATGGGAATCTAGTAACTATACCCATTCCCAAGGGTCTTGGGCTTTATTAATCAACAAATTAGACACGACTCCCCATCACTGGGGGCTCAGAGTTTTAGCAGAGGAAACAGGCAGCATGTTTGGGGTAGCAAGAGCTTGGGGAAAAATAAGGGTGATATGAGCAAACTCAGGTGATGGTGGTGGGGTGCGAGGCAGGGAGGAGGGAAGAAGGCAATCCTGGCAGATCTCACGGAGTAATGAACTTGAAGCAGCATAGATCCGGAGGAAGAAGGAAGAGCCGGAGCCAGAGGCCCCCAGAGTGAGGGGGAGAGTGTGGGCAGAGAGGCAGAGAACGCCAGGTCCTGGAAGACTTTGGGACGACTTTGGCTCCTAATGAAATGGTGACCCTTTTAGTGAGTTTTGATGGGATGGGTGATGTCCAATTTATGCTTTTGTTTTGGTTTTTTGGGGGAGGGTAATTTATTTATTTTCGTGAAGGTGCTGTTGTTTGAACCCAGGATCTCATGCATGCT